TGCAGACTGTTGCATAAATGCAAAAAATTCTCTTGGCCATATGTTTCCGCCAGCCACTCCTTGGAAACCATGTAAATGTGTCTAATAAACAGCTTGTTTAAATGTACATAGCTCTAGGACAGACAAGTCATGAGCCTGATGACGTTCCCAAGTCCCAGGCTAATAACTTAGGGCATCATGGGTTCTCTCCCTTTGCTCCGGACAGCAAGGGAGGCCAGGATGCTTGCTCTTTCTATACTATTTATTCTTTGAGAAAAGCAAACATGCCTATGCACTGGTAGTGTGAGCAGCAGCGCAATACACTGAAACTGGGAAGAAACTGGAAGTGGTTTGGGAATCACTACTGCATTGGCCTTCTGACATGTCAGACATTAACAAAGACATTCCTGGATCCTATATTCTGTCTGGCAATCAGCAAAGTCCCCATTCATAGTCTTCCAAGAGTTACATCGTCCCAGGGGTCCGCAGCATACCTTGAAGCCCTTTCCCCAGTAGCTTATTCCATGCCTGGAATTCCCATTCCACTATATTCAGATGCAACATTCTTCATTAAGATGTTTTTGGGAACATATTTCTGGTCAGACACCTTTTTTTTTTTTTTTAAATACATTTCTGTGCTAGAACTATGTTCCAGCAGAGTTGTTAGACCAATTGATCCAATTTATACCACTATAAAAAGTCCTCTGCAGAAACAACTTTTAGCCTTGTAAAGTACTGCAGATACTCTCCATGAATAACACAGAAACCACATGAGCTTCAGAAAAGACTCAAGACAATCCACTTCCTTGTGTTTTCTCATGCGCTGCATACTCCAAGTGCAGAGCACAAGGTCCTTACCCTACTCTTGATCAGGAGAAAGCTTGTTTTTCCTTGATGTTAGGCAGTGCCATGGGGACAGAGAGAAAGGAATAAAAATCAACAGAAATGCATGGCAATAGAAAAGTCTACTTTGCTCAGTTCACCACTTTTTCTTCTCCTTTATGCAACTTTGATCTATCAAGTTGAGGAAAGAAGCAAAACTGCCTAAATTCCCACAAGAGAAAGAAAAGCTATGGACAGACTCTCCCCAGAAGCTAAAATAGCAAGCTAAGTGCCTGAGCATTACAATCTGAGGTTATACTAGGTGGATGCCTTTCCTAGTGACTACAAATACTCTGCTGTTAACTCCAAGTTTCATGTCAGAATCACCAAATCCTTAAGAAACAACCCATTGACTTGCTAGTAAAATAATCATCAGCACCCCATTTATTACTGTCTTTCTGACTAATACTGGATCATGAATCATCACCTCATGAAATTATCTACTTCATATTTCATATAGGTACTTATCACCATAGCATCTGAAATCTTAAGCAGGTACGTGATGCCACTAAAGTCTCACCATTAGCAGTCTCCACAGCTCAGACAATCAAATGGCGCCTTCTCTTTCAGATTGACACACAAAACTCTATGGGGTGATTGCTGGCTAAGGTCCCTGAAAAGTAATTTATTTTCGCCACAAGGCTGTGGCACAAACAGTGTCTATAGACAAGAGATTTTATTACTGTCTTTTTCTTCCTATAACCACCATCTGCTAATGCCCAGGACATCTGATGAAGGCTGGCAGCAAAGGAATTATTCCATTTTTGGGGGGGGGGGGGGGGGGAAAAAAAAAAGTGTACATTTTGGAGTTTCTCTGCACTCTGTTTAGGACCAGAATGGAAGTTGCTTGAAAAGAAACAGAAGGGAAGGGGTAGAGAAAGTGAGAAATCTGGGACAAGAAGAATCTGATCAAGTTACTGTTTTAGTCTGTTTGGGCCTGGATTTTGGGTGTCATTCATCCCAGCCAAGCATGTTTATCATTGAGTTTCACTCTCAGCCTTTGTCCTATTGAAGCTCCTCTACCTTAGATAGTACCCACACTACTCAATGGCAAGAAAGATAAGGCAGTCAAGAATGGTCTATGGCCCTTTTGGCACTGCTGCCTTCTCCTTTGCATCATGGAAAAGCCACTCTGGGCCCAAGGAACATTTTTTCTAGTAGTAAATTGAATTATCTCCATGTAAAAAGAGTCAGAGCTCTTTTTAAGCAGCTCCACATTTGCTGTGGGTTCTGTCACTTTTCTTCCCAAGTCACAGTCGATCAATGCAGTTGCCAGCAAAACTGAAGTCTTCTCTGGAAGGACAACAGCAGTTCAACAATTGAAGGTGTAGGTGGGGATCACTGTCATTTTGCTTGCTCTGTGCCTGCTTATTACATAAGGGCACATTTCGTTCTCTGTCAGGGTTACAAAACTCTCCACTGGTGCCCCAGTTACTGAAGACTTGGAGTGCTCCCCTTCCCATGACTGTCACGGGAACATGTGCTTTATGCAGCCTGGAGCTCCAAAGCAGCCACCAGACATGGACTCTTCATCCAAAAGCCACCTCATTAACTCAATCGCTGTGAAAAGGCTACAGAGCTCATACAGAAGGATTTCTTTGCTGAACTGAAGCACCTTGCTTAGTGCTCTGATGGATAATTTAACTAGACAACCGTTTAACACCCACACTGAGGGGAAAAAAGGGTATCCCTGGCTTCTCGGTGCTGTTCTGACTACCCGCCAACAACTCCATCCAGCACGTGTGACGGGACAGCTGGTGGCACACACTGCACCACTGGAAATGTTATCAAGGCAATGCACACACAGTCGGTTGGATAACACCACATTCTCACAGCAGCATGTATGTATAGAGATGGAGAGGCAACTCCCACTGCACCATCTGCAAACCACGAGCAGAGAGAACCTGAACTATCCACTTATTATTATTTAGGCCACCTTGCTTCTTTAGGACAAGTATTATCATTGCTATTAAGTACACATATTGTAGTAATGCCCAACGGCTCTCTCTAAATGAAGCTAGCACTTAATTCTGTCAGTGTTAAGTTAATGACATTCATTACAGCTTGACCTTACCTTCCAGTTTGCACTCATAGCTCTCATCTGCATGCTTTTTCCATAACGTATACAACAAAGGAGCAAGTTCAGCACCCATAACTTTCCTATCTGTGCCTGTATTTCATGGTATGTTTAAGTTTTTTCTACCTCTAGGTCAGCCCAAATGTGCTGGCACTAATGCAAAAGAGTGAAGTCTTTGACCCGACTTACAGAAGCAGCCAAATACACCACCCAAATACGCTAGCTCTAACAGTAATACAGTTTTAATTTTTCTCCAAGATTCCACAGCCATTCCTACAAGTTAAGCAGACAAATGTGTATGTACATTAACAGCCACAACCCTTGTAGAAAAATGGTTGTTGTTCACTGATCTCAAAAATTAGTAACTCTAAGACCACCAAATGCTGGCAACAGGATGACCAGGCTTATCCATAATCTCACCCTGCCTGGCTTTATTAAATATTATGTGGGGTGGATTTTAGCTGTAAATGCCAAGGAAAGGACTTAAGCACTCTGACAGTTAAGTTCCTCTGTTTATTAAAGGGCAATCATTTTCAGACAATTTATCGTTCTTCTAAAATAAAAAAAAGGACTCTTTGAGCTAGAGAGACAATATGCTTAACAGTAACTCTTCTAATTTCTCTCCTATTCAGTCCTTAGTTGAAAGTAAGTATCAGTTGCTACTCAAATAACATTTCATCTGTGGTTTGGCTTTAGAAAAAAATGCCTTAATACATTATTTATTCAGGACCATATTATGAATCTTCCTGTATGTCGCCACAGGAAACTAAGGTTCAAGGAAAATACTCAGGAAACCTATGAAAGGAAAAAGTATGAAATATATTTAGGAAATCTGCATGAATGATACAACAGTATATTCCACAAGTTGTTTTTTTTAAACACACACACTCCTCCCCTCTCACTCTGTCTGGTCTGCAGTGTTTTTGTGACTTCTTTACTTGCAATTTCTTAAAGAAATCATTTAAGAATTATCAGGAATAAAAACCAACCCCAAAACTTGGAAAACAATACTAACTAAGATTTGCTTTCTAGCTTAAATAGGCTTCCTCTATTTCTGCTGACATTTCTACCTAACACTTCTTTACCAGCTAAGAAAAAGTATAATTAGAATTTTAAGCCAGCAATAACACAACTACTTGACCAACAGGGTATAATAAAGCCAATACTTGTTTATGGCCTCAGCAATATTTGCCAAGTCTCTTGATTTGAAGCATGTAAAATTTGCCTTAAATGCATAACCTTCCACATCAAAGGAACAACATCCAGCAGTGCTAGAGGGCTAAGTCTAGGAATTAATGAGTCTTTCAAATAAACTAGTGTTGTTCTTTGTATTTTGTTATGAATTCAATGCCTATCAGTCTTCCTTTAAGAAAAACATGTAAATATTAAGTAGATTTAATTTTCCATGCTCTTTCAATGCAGATTAAGTATTAATATGTTACATCCAGCTGGCATGGAAATGTAACTCAGATACTAAAAACAATGGAGTCCAATTAGAAAATGACCTTTATATAGATAACCAGTTTGAAAAGCAGCTGAGTGCTGGGAAAGATTCCTTAAAAGTAAACCCTGGCAGGTGAAAAATAACTTCCTAAACAAAGTGTAGGAACCTTTAGCTTCTCAGAGTTCAGTGCACCCAGGGAAATGGGCTAGTAAAGGGGACAAGCCTGGGATGAGAAAAAACAAAGAAAGGGTTTAACAACCCAACTGGCTTTTATCTTTACTCCTCCATCTCAGATCTCTGTCAGGTTGTATAGCTAAAGGTTGTGCTGTTAAGACAGCTTCCCACCCTAACACCAGGCAATTTGTCTGAAAGGGTCAGGCTGGCACCCTGACAGTAAGAATCACAACCACCTGATTTCTGAAAGCTTTTCACCGTTGAAAGCACACAAAAAGTACAATCTGACTCCAGGAGAAAGGAAATTGTTTTTCTCATTCAAGAAGTTACATTCTATCAATTTGAATAATTTTCTACCTGTCTACAAAAATACACATGAAGAACAAAGGGGAAAACTCATGAGGACACAGGCTCAACAAGACTAAAGAGAACACGCATCCTTACATGCTCTCACAGAACTTTGTAAGAGTGCTGGGCTTTTCCTGGTTGCGTCTTTGTCGAAACCAGCGTTGAATGCTGCGTACATCCCAGTCCAGCTGCTTGGAGAGGCCCTCCAGCCTCTTCTCATCTGGATGCTACAGAACAGAGAAGGATAAAAATTGTTTCTTTGCCCAACTGCAGTAAGTCCACTTTAAATTTACAACCACCGTAATTGCCTCTTGATGTCTTAGAGGCTGCCTGTCAAACACATGGATACATAGAAATAAAATCACTTTCACAGAAATCTCTGCTGGCAGATCCACATCAAAATACGTTTACAGTAACTATTATTAATCTAGAAGGACATATGCTGTAATATTGCATGCAGGTTATTACTAATAAGAAAGTTAAAGGGGAAAATTGGATGAAAACTTGCTTGAAACTTGAAAGTGATGATAAATAGAGATAAAATGCCACGCATTTCTCGAGCAGTGGGGCTTACAAACACCCCCTGCCAGCCACATGCTATGCCTGTTCCACCCTCCTGTATCAGGATCTTTGTCCTATCAACTGTTGCAGTAGTGGAGACTATTTGACTGACATGGAAAGAAGATATATCCCATGTTTGTGCATATTAATGTTAAAAAATGAGGTCATTAAACAAAGTGACAACTTCTAAAGGAAAATCACCTTGACCACAGGGAGAGAGAATTTTTTTCTGTAAAATTAGCTACACACAATTATTCTCCAAAGCAGCAAATGTGGAACTCTCATTTCATTAGAGCAGCTGCAAGATGGTGCAGAGGTAAGGCAAAAGCAAAATGAGTCTGTCCTCAATTTGACTACTATACGGAGAAGAGGAGTACAGGCCATGTTTCTAATCATGCAGCAAATCTACCTGTACAGTACTGCATGAGGACTATTTATATATTTCTCCTGATCCCATTCTTTTTTAAAGAAACAGAAAAAGCTTTTGGACAATTTGTTTTCTGGAGCTTTAGCTTTATTTCTGCAAGCCACTTACATACATTGAATGAGATGCAAGAGCTGCCACGATAAAGACTTTTTTAAATGTTGCAAGAGGTAAAACAGCAAAGCTTCTATCAGGCTGAAATTTCATCTATCAGCCTCTAGGAAAAGACATGAAGGAAAGGGATAGGAAAGGATAAGACAAGGGAAGTATTTGCCATCCATCTCAAAAAAAAATAAAAAAAAGTTTTTTTAGTCAACCAAAGTAGCCACTAGTTTTTCAATGGAAGGTTAAGAAAAGCCATTCTCTGTCACTTTAGAGAAATCAAATGACTGATGCAGCTCATGGGAGTTTGACCAGAGAGAACTGCTGCACATAACTCAAAAAAGACGGCTAGCTAAATCAGACAGTTTCTCTGAGAGCAGCTACTAGAAGCCCTACCAAACTCTTGCAGGAAAGTAGATACTTTCCTTTGGAGCTCTTCCCACTTGTCTCCATGTACTGGGTGCTGGCAGCGGTGTGTGCCAGCTCATACCATGGCTCACAGGCACTAGTTAGATTACTTCACACCCTCAGGCCCTGTGTTGGACTAGCAGATACTGCAAGGTAAAATTTAAAAAAAAAAAAAAAAAAAAATCATCCCATTCTTCCTCCAGCTGAGTCTGGGCAAGAGCACATGTGCTGCAGCTTTTAGAAACAAGGTATGTGTGATTCCCTCCCTGAAAACAGGACAAAAACCACACCAAGTGCCATGGTGATCTTGGGAGACGGTAGGACACACAAGCAAGACAGATCCATGGCATATGGTGCTGTCCCTGACACTGAACCCAATTTTGCCCTCTATGACCCTAATACACTCTGAAGTTTAGGCTGATGCCTTTGCTGTGGCATGCCTAGCTGCAGCCTGGAGCCGAGGTGGGACTGAGAAGTTCCTGCAGCACAGTGACTTTGTCCTTCAGGCCTCCACAGGCCTTTCTGCTACAAAGCAGCTGACCACTGAGGTCTTCAGGAGATGCTAAAGGACACCTGCTCACTGCTACAGGAAAGCTCAGAGTGCTTCAAAAGCACGGACAGGAGGACATAGGGGTTTAGTTGAGATGTCATACAGTGAGAGCTGTAGAGACAGAGACATAAGTGGTAGGGGAAAAACTTGTATTGTACAAAAAAAAAAAAAAATCTGTAAGCTCTAAAACATTATTCAGTCAGTTCCCCCCACTTTTCTAGCTGTGGACATTGAAGGACATTCATCACAATGTAAACAGCTGGGACACCAGCAAGCCACCAGCGTCCTGTGTTTAGGCAGTTCCCCTAGAAGGAGTAGCTTTGAAGTTTCATGGAAAACACAGTAAGGCCAATCTTACTGGCTCACAATTTGCTCTTTTTTCAAAAAACCTGATGATTTTGTGGAAATTTCTAAAAGACAAGAAGCAAAAAGAAGTAGGTGGCCATATGGCACCTACAAAGTGTTTCTGTAACAATTTTTTTTGATTAAAAGCTTACAGGAGACGTCACGAAGGGATCCACAACTGCACAAGCTGGCATGCCAATGACAACCTTGACATTTGCATGTTCTGATTTTAGCTGTAAAAATGTAGCACTGCGTTTAGCAGTTAGCTTTGTTTTGTTCAAACATAGTTTATAGTGCCATATCCCACTTTATAAGGTAAATATTTTTTTAAAATACTCTACCTTTGTAATAGCTGTGAAAACTTTTTCCAGGATAGCATTAGGTTGAGCTTTCTGTGGTCCGTTGGCTTGGACTTTAAGGCCTAAGGCACAAGGTTTAGCAATGAACCTGTGAGAAACAGAAGAATGAAAAAAGAAAACAAGTTAAATCCTTCAGTTATTTACTTCATTACTGTTATTAATCAATGACATGTGGTAAATGCACAAACATTATAACCCTGCCAACAAAAACAATACTTAGCCTTACAGCTCAAATGCAAGCTCATACAGGCAATTACATCGCAAAATAAGTAACATCACTTTGAAGGATGAAAGGAACTCCATGGAGCACATGAAACAAAGGATTTTCCTTCATGTTGTGAAAAAAAAAGGATAGAACAAAAGCACAAGAGGAATGCCTCCTAGAGAAGCACCAACTAATGAAAGCAGGGCAGCTTGCAGAGATGAGGAGCACATAATATTCTCCTCCAAACAGAGCCTTTTTCATAAATCAGTTACTGCCTCAGGACTCCTTTTGCACAGTGGATATTCAAACAAAGTCATTAAAGGCAGCAAGCACTTAAGCTGCCCAGTCAATACAATTTTCTAAACCATAAAGTTTAAATGGTGTTGAGCCATGCCTCAAAGACTTTGCTCTTCCTTCAAACTCTTCTGCTAAAATACGAAGCTGTTACAGATCCAAACACCAATCCATAAGTTCATGCAGTTTATAAACTGGGTGTCTCAGATACATTTTAGAGATTAATTACATAGCTTACATTACATACATTCAAAGACCACCATTCCACTCACTGAAAGCTAAATTATTTGTAACTATGAGTCCAACTCTGGAACCCCATGAAAGCTACAAAGTCTGTATAGGAATCACATTCATATATGAAGAGTATGAACTTCTGCCATCTTTGAGCTATGTAACTCTCAATTTCACTTTAAGTGAAGACTTCCGTTTCCTAAGACTTCATTTGCCAGCAGGGACCAAAACAACATACTCCATAGTTAAGAAGTAGTTCCACGTTTATCCAGTTGAATGACCACAAGCTCTTAAGAATCATGGAATTCTTATCCACAAGCAACCCCCATTTTAAACACTGTTTTGAGCTACAACTGCTGTTTCTGCTATGTTTAAGACCACACAGCTGACTAAAGAGAATTAAGTCCTAAGCAATGTTACAGTGCTTACAGCAATAGCATTTGGTAAAGAAAGATGGGTGATGAAAACCCACCTTGTTTTCCTTGTTTTTCCAAGGAAAAATTCTTGACACATTGATACCATTCCCATATGAAATTCAATTCTAATAGCCTGAAATCATTTTGGTGACTATTTGTGAGAGGGGTGAGAAGTCATATATCCAAAGACACATGCAGTGTGTCAGCAAACTCACTATTTGATCCTTGTATAAGAGGGAAAAAAAACTCCATCACCTTATTAGACTCTGTAAAAAGTTTGGTTGCAATCTGGATCGGCTGCAGATTGCAACCATGCTGCTAGCTCCACAGCATCAACCAAATCAATGGCACTGTAGCACTGTAAATTCCCCGCTTTAGGGTTAACAGCTTGGATGATACCAGTTTCACTGCTGAGCTCGAGAAGAAAGCAGTTTTCCACTCATGAAACAGAAGCATATAAGCTCTGTATATGTTGTATGTAAATACAGTGTAATCTAGCTACACTGGAGACTTGTACATTACTTAAAGTATAAGGTGACAAAAGAAGAAGAAATAATTGTATTCTCTAGTCCAACATTGACGTAACTAAACCAGTGCTGGCCATTGCTGTTAGCTGATAGCCAAAAAGGTAGCTGAAGAAGCTAACAAAATGCTCATAGAGTTTGATTTCAGAAATTTACTTTTATAATTTTAAGGAGTTGTAAAACACTTCTAGCCATGTAACAGAGGGGCTGAGAATCTTAGCATCCATGTCCATGGTTTGTACTAAAAAGCTGACACCCCCCCCCCCCAAAAATTCCAGTCTTTGCTATTCAAACAGTTTCCTGAAGAGAAAGCAATAGAGTCAAGCCTAGGTAAGACAGTAAAGGGGATGTCAAGCAATGTTCAAGCTAATTTTACAAAGCCCTACAAGGAAACACAAGTAGAGACAGGGCAGAGGAGTGCTGTAGGTAGAATAAAAGCAAATAAATGAAAGACAACTTCTTCATCAGCTTCATGCATTCAGAGAGGAACCCAAGCTCAGCCTTCACCATCAACAGCAAGAGCAAGAAACTCACTAAATAAGCACAAAAATAAAAATTGCTTCAGATGGATTTTCTGGGCACTGGCAAAGTCAGTCTCCTCTGAAGTAAGACTTGATTTGGGTTTTTTTGTTTGTCAGTTTGGAGGGTGTGGGGTTTTGTTTGGTTGGGTTTTTGGTGGTTGTGTGGGGTTTTTTGGGGGGAGGGAGGTGTTGGTTTGGGGTTTTTTGTTGGTTTTTTTTTGTTTGGGTTTTTTTTGTTTTGTTTTGTTTTACACACATACATCTTTCAACTTCTGTTCTGCTTTTCTCCTGCTGAGTGAAGTAATGAGATAGCCATGATATAACTCCAACAGAAAGGCAGGTCCCTAAACATTCTTATTTAAAAGAAAAAAAAATTAATTCGGTAAAGTCAAAAGCAGATTAAAAAGCCCCAGTTAGAAAAATTCCACAAGGAGCAATTCCAACAAGCATCATGCTGAGCTGATCTTCATTTAAATCTAAGCAAACCAGCTGGGTTTGCTTAAATGCTATTCCTAAAATGACATATCTTGCTAATGAACAGCCTAGATAAATCCAGGACAAAGCACAGATACAGCATTTGTGTAGATTTTAAAAAAAGAAGAGAATTGTAATATTGATGTTATACCCGTGACCTAAAATGAAACACATTTTCTGCTTCAATCTGCTACTTTCTAAACAGGACCATAAATTTTTCTTCCTTTGCTGCTTATGTTTTTCACATGCACCGGAGGAATGGGCACGTGACCAGAACAAGGGTCCACAAGGACAGCAAAGCACAGTAAGTATGTGTGCAGGGTACACTGCTGCAAGACACAGGATGATCTTGGCCAGCTATGTCAGGGAGGAAGGGACATGGAAAGCTTCAAAAAAACCACAAAGGTCTCTCTCCTGATATGCTCTTGTGGTCTTTCTCCACTTTTGAAAAAAAAGCTTTAAAAAAATCCCCTCAAGGGATTGTTAATTCCTATTAGGACACTCAAGGGAAAGAAAGCATTTTTAACAGAAACATTTTACATGTCTTCAATACTGAGCAGGTCTGACCACCAATTCAAGTGTGCGGGAGCCATGTCCATGTGATTACCTTTGGTGGAACTGGTAAAATTTAAGTGATATTTTTTACTTTTCATAAAAAACCTTAACAAATTCAAGCTATACTTTGTAGTATAAAAATTGCTTTTCAAGGTTAAGATAGAATTTAAAAATAGAATTTAATCAATAGGATCCCAAATGCCACACCAGGTACCATAAAAAGCATCGTTAACATAATTCTCACCAACAGTTTTCCATAATAATTTAAATAGATCCATAAGTAAACAAAACAATTAATGTTTGATACATATACAAACTATGAGCATTTTGCCAAATGTTGCACTTCTTAAAAGCACTATTCATTTTTTCCATTTCTGCTAACACTGTGGTATTCAATTCCCTAAGCAGTCTGACTGAAGCCCATGGGACTATTTATCACATAAGGTACTGCAATTAAGAGTGAAGAACTATTGTGAAAGAGTAAGAAGAGCAGAATTGAATATATTGCCAGCTTTTCTCTTTAAAACACGTAAATCTGAACAAATGCCACACTAATAACTCTTTTTCAATGGATTCCAGTACAGCTGACTTGAAAGCTGGTATTCAATTACACAGAAATTAAAGGACAAGCATTTTTTGCCCAATGCAGCCCCATCTATTCTGGAACTAAAAGTGAAAGACCAACATAAACAAGGGAATTAAACTCAGAATTCAAGAACCTTTTTAAAGGCAGCTTCCTCATTCACAGACTAAAGCCACATTTAAAAACAAAACCAACCCAAAAAGCCCACAGCCAGCTAGTTCAGGTAATGTCTGCAGAGCATCGGAGTTGAAAGCACTCAGCCTTTGCAGGCCCATAAATACTGCACCATCTGCCTGAAGAAGACAAGCATTTCCGAGTGTCCTGTACCCCTAAAGGCAGGCGCTGGTTTGCATTTTGGATCCTGCCTGTTTTTCTCAAATTGATTATTTACAACAGTGACAGCAAGGCCTTATACTCCACCCCAAACTCAGAAATCAGTTTTTCTCTAGCAAGGGGTCAAGAAACCCTTTGCAAAATGATCTCTCACCTCTCCTAGAGCATAAAAAAACCCCACCATTTCACCAGAAGTATGTAAATTTGATCAAGAACAAGTACCATGTGGGTTTCCCACTTGCCCTTTAACAAATGCCAACTAGACAAAGACAGCCACTATTACAACAGATGAGTAAGTAGAAAAAGGAGAAGTAAAAAACCAAACAAACCCCCCCCCAAAAAAAAAAAAAAAACCCCCTAAAAATTAACTTTGCCCTGATGGAAGAAGATAAATGCCAGTTGGCCACCACTTGCTCTTTGCAGTGATCGCAGTGGGCACAGTGCTCCTTAGAGGGAGATGAGGATCCCACCTGGCCATCAACCCCGGGGGGAGATGAAACCCCAAACCCACAGCCTCTTCAGAAGCCATTGCCACCACTCCACACTAGACATATAATTCCTCACACTCAGAAAATTACAGCTTAAAAATATGCTGGCTCCACTTCCTGGGCACTCCACACCCTGTAAAAGTTTCTCTTTAGAAATACAAACAGATCACATCTGTCATGAGCACAAATCATCCTGGACACATCAACTGGAAATATAACTGCAGTATCACTGATAAAATAACCTCTAATAAAAGAGTAAGGAAAATGCCCCCACTGGCTCACAGAGCTCTTTCTGTTTTCCTTCACTGGCTATTTGAACCTTACTAATTAATTACCATGTAACCTTTTTAGTTTACTGCTTTTCGTCTTGACAAATTACATCGTTTTAATCCCAGAATTAACTAGAAATGTTAGCATTGACCCTCATAATCCTCGGAGGCTGATGTACATTAGCACTAGCAAAG